TACCCCAGAGCTTGGACAGCTCCGTACCCCAGAGCTTGGACAGCTCCACTCTGAGAACTCAGTGTACTTTTCCTCTAATCATTCCACCCACTAGCCAGTCTGTCAATTACATTTAGTTTAATTAGAGATTTTCCGAAAATTCTTCAAGACTTCAAACTGCCTTTTAAAAACAAAACAATCTCTTAATTTAATTTTCTATCTGAAAGAATATATGCAAAAGACGAGGATACCTAAATTAAACTCAATTGATAGGAGGAAGGTTTTTATCTCTTTTAATTCAGGGGACTGAATCTCTGTTAGGAGGGACTTGACAAAATAGTAACAGTAACCAGAAGGGACATGGTTAAAAAAATTAACTTTCTGATCGTCTTAATTCTCTGTATTTTCTTATCCTTGAGGAACAGGCGAATTTGAGAAGCATCAAAATAATTAGACTTCTTAAAAATGGAATGTGTGAGTGAGAGGTGTTTATGAGAAGTTGATGACTCTGGATCATCTCATCCATGAGGACAGCACAGTATAGTTAATATGTTCCTTGAGGAATTGGGATGGTGACGTCTTTTTCTGATACCCGATCATTACGTGACTGAGAGAAAAAAAAAGGAAGTCATTTCATGAATAAAAATCGGAGCACAACAGTACAACAAACAATATTCCACTCGTAAAGGTAACAGGCAGGCAAATGTTTACAAAGAGGGCTCGAATAAAACTGGTTTGAAAAGATTTTTTTGCTAGCTGCATATATATATATAAATATATAAATATATATATATATATATATATATATATATATATATATAGGAACACAGAAAGCTGGTCACTTTTGGAGTCACCGACAGAAGAAGAAAGCTACAGCTCCAGCCACATTCAGAGGGACCATAGTGAAGAGACGGAGCTGCTGAATTGCACAGCTTCCTGAGAGCTGCACGCCACTGACTACGCAGCTTTCCCTTCCTTCCTTCTTTCCTTCCTTCCTTCTTTTTTTCTTTCTTTCTTTCCTTCCTTCCTTCCTTCTTTCCTTCCTTCCTTCCTTCTTTCCTATCTTTTCTTTTTTCCTTTTTCTCCTCTTTTCTCTTCCTCTCCTCTTGCCTTTTCTCCAGATCTCCAGCTGTCTCTTACTCCTTTTCCTCTCTACCCCCTCTCCTTCCAGTGTCACACGCCCTCTTAGTTCTGTGTGTCTGCAAACTTTTGAACAGAATCCTCGCATCAGCAAACAAGTCCTCCTCCTCCTCCTCCTGCTCTCTTGCTACTGCTATTCCTGCTCTTTCCTGCAGCTTTTCTTTGGACAGGAGCGGGAGGAGGTGATGCCACTTACGTTGTGAACTATTTCGACTGAAACTTGGAGGAACAATTTGCCCGCTGTCCTAATTGGAATCAAACGCTTTCCGTGCTGAGGTTTAAGAGTTGAATGGTAAGGAAAACAAAACCCAAACTAATTTGGGCCATTGATTCTCTCCTCATCTTTGGTGGAAGAGTTAGGTTTTTCATTAGCAAGCTCTTTGGTTTAGTTGTTGGGTATTGTGGGGCTTTTCTGTAGTGAAAGGGAAAGGGAGGGGACACAAACATTTGCTAAAACGTGATCTCAGAGTAGAAGCGAAGTATTTCTTCTCCGGCTCCCCCGCCCCCAATAATTTGTTTAGTGGCCTAAGAGATAAAACAAACGGAGTGTTTTGACAGCTGTTTTCCCCCTCCCTTGCTTGTACACAGAATGGCAATGTGTAGCAAAGCGACCCTAGCCTTGCTGATCTATGGAATACTAATGCATAGCAGTGTCTACTGCTCACCTGCAGCCGGAATCCAGTTTCCTGCTTTCAGGTAGGTACTTACTGTTTTTCTCCCCCCTCCTTCCCTATAACATAACCCAGGTCGATCTAGTCTCAGTCTCTCCTCCCCTGAACGCCTATGCCCGCCTCCCGCAGTAGTCTCAGTCTACACTTGTTTAGTTGCTACGAGGTACGGTACACTAAAGGAACAGGTTTCCCCTTGCACTTACCTTGTAGCTTTGGGGTTTGCGGGTGGGCTGTTTCGCCTGTTCCTTCCCCTAGTACAGCATTGAGAGTAGGGGAGGTAGTGTGTCCCTCCGGATGACTCCTCTCCCTCCACCCTCCCTCGTCCCCTCCTCTCTTTGTCAGGTGGACCCACCAGGGGAAAGAGCTGACATCTCTTAGACGAAGGGGCTTGGATTGTTATCTATGTCTCTTATGATCTTTACTAAAAAAAAAAAAAAAAAAAAAAAATCTTTTTTTCCCCCCTGGAAGGGTCAAGGCTGGATGTGCACAAATCCTCTGATTTAAAATGTTTTTTTTTTTCTTTTTGTGCTTTTCTGCTGTACTGTTCTCTCTCTCTCTCTCTCTCTCTCTCTCTCTCTCTCTCTCTCTCTCTCTCTCTCTCTCCCTCCCCCCCCTCACCTCCGCCTTCCTCTGTGATGCGCTTCAGGGATGCATAAGGTTTCTTTCGGGAAGCTTTTGAGTTTACTGCTGTGTTTTTAGTCTCCGATAGTCGTTTAGGGTAGATTGGTGATGGTTGGGGGAGGGGCCGAAAACCTGTCAGAAAGAAGGAGAGGGGAAGGGACGAGGAAGAAGGAGGAAGACAATAAAGACGGAAAAGGGATGAAGAAAGGGAAATGAGGCGGAGGGAGCGAGATTACCCAGACTGAGATCTCTTTCATTCTCGGGGCTTTTTTCTCCCAAGACCTCTGGTTTCTAAGTGCGTCTGCGCTACTCTGATGAGGCTATAGCCGTTTTCTCAGGCTAGAGTAGAGGCCAGAGAGCAAGAAGGCGTTGCTTTGCTATTTGATAGGGGAAGCTGGATTTAAGTTTGCAGGACCCGGGTCAGGGATCAGAAGTCCTTCCCGCGCCACAAAGTTTCTTGGAGAGGAATACGAATACTTTTAATGATAGAATTCCTTCATCTAATGACTGCTTTACTTTATCTATTGTTTATTTGAGGAGTGGGAGATTAGCAGGAAGGAATTTTCCTGGCTTTTAATGTCTTTTGAAAGGCCGGCCAACTTGATCTGGCAAATGGCATAATGGGACTCAGATACGCAGGTCTTGGGTCCGGGGCAGTTAGCGGGCAGCCAGGAGTTAGACTATTGTATCCCCTTAGCCTTCCTTTTGGGATACCTGGAGAACTGGAAAAAAAAAAAGCAGAGAGGGAGAAGGGGAAGTTCTGTCTGTGGCAATTCCAATTCAGAAAGAAGGGCAGAATGGAAAAATGTAACGGTACAAAAACCAGATTCCATTCCAAAAGGACGGTTCACTTAAAAAATGAAAGCACGGTAGATCAAGATTTTCCCTAAAGGCTGACTTAGCAGTGAGATTTGCTGAGGTTTTCTTTCTGTGCCAAAAGCATTTTCTTTAACCGATTTCTACTTTAAAATCGCTTTCTCTCCCTCCCTCCCTTTCCTCCTTCCCTCTCTCTCTCTCTTCCTCCACCTCCTCTTTCCCCCGCTCCCCTCACGCACAAGCCCCGAGGCACGGGGACGCACACTTAGTAATAGGGTCAGTAGGAAGAACAACCCCTTGCCCTAGTAGCTGTCAAAATTTTCTGTTTTATTCGAGCGGTGACTCTGAGGTGAGGTCACGGCAGTCTCCCCAGGATCTTACAATGAACCAACTACTTGCATTCTCCCACGCCTATGCCAACTTTAAAAGGGGGGTAGTGGTGGTGTACATTTAAAATCAAGTTGTTCTTCCCTCTAACTCCTTTTTTCCTCCTCCCTCTTCTCTAGAAATCCCGGGATAGGGTGAGGGTGGGAGTGGAAGTACGGGTGGGAGTGGGGGTAGGGAAGGAGTGGAAACTGGATTCAGAGCTAACTTGGTTCCCAGATGCTGGGAATGGGCTGACAATTTCCATAAGCCCGAGGCATCGGAGGAAACTGAGTGCGGGTCTCTAGCCAGAATGAGCAGAAGTCAAACATTTTAAGTTTTGGGGCATCTATTATTCATGTCCCTGCTAGAGTCTCGCAGGCCAGAAATAGCAGCCGGAGACTCGCGGTGACCTAAATCAGGCCGCGGGGAAGAGTTCTCCAGAGCCCAGAAAAGAGAGGGCCGGGCTCAAGACCACAGCAAATCCCACCCACCCAAACCGTATTTAGGGGCTTTATCCCAGCAGTAGCTGGTACCATTGCGGCGCCTTCACTTTGGACAGTTCCTTCAACTTTAATCCCCTCGCTCTTCCTTCCCCTCCCCCACCCCTTCCTGTAGGCAACCCTTTTTGCAGCTTTGGTGGTGACGGGGGTGGGGGGGAGGGGTTGTGGTATATGTACAATAGTGTGGCCAGCTGAGACTCGTTTGCCTCTAATAGCAACGGCCACCAGTCTTTTCCCCAGTGCCCTCAGTTCCGATTCCGGTTGGGTTAACTAGTCCTTTTGGTCCTTAGGCACTGAGCGTTTTCCTCTTCCATACATCGCTGCCCTAGTTTGGCTGGGGGAGGGGGGATGGGTAGGAAGGGGGAGGTGAGAAAAAGGTGGATGATTCCTGAAGTATCACAACTGGGTTCGGATAAGGGACAATAACGATTTACGCCCGCCGGGCAAGTTCTGCCCCCCACCCCCCTCCAAAAAAAAAAATCCTAGTCGAGAGAATGAATTGAAAGTCTCTTCTATCTTCCCCCTTCTTCCCGGAGGCGGGCAACGACCCAGTCCCCGAGTTCTTATCCTTTCTTTTCCATTTTCTTAGCAGGTTGGAGGATGAAGCTTATGATGAGGATGGGAACACTCTGCAGGATTTCGCCTTTGATAATAACCGTTTGGGCTTGGGAAACACTGCATCCATGCTGGGGGACGTGCACGCGCTCTATTACCCACCGGAAGAGAGGTGACTGCCACTGGGCTGATTAAGAGTTTGTTTGGAGAGAGTGGGAGGACTCAGTAACCCTGAGATAATGCGTAGTGGGCAGGAAAGGCTGTGTATTTGTATTATTTATTTATATTTTATTAATAAGAAAAGTCCTCAAGTATTTCTTCAGCCTAGGCTGCCTAATGCGGAGGCAAGAGAAAGTTCAGAATCTAGAGTATGCGTGTGTGTGTACGTGTGTGTGTGTGTGTGTGTGTGTGTGTGTGTGTGTAGGTGACTCTGATTATATGAGGATGGTCAAGTATACCTGTGTGTATGAGAATGAGTGCACATCCAGAGAAACAGCAAGCTACAAATTCCGCTACTTATTCCTCTCGGAATTCACAAACTCTTTCCTAATGACCCTGCCTAGAGACGTGGAAAAAATAGTTTTCAGATTGTCTGTGGGCTGTCCCGATTCACTAGCCAGACAGCTACAGCTCCCACCCAATCTCCAGGGGCGGTGTTTGAGAGGTTTCTCCATTCTGATTTTTGCATCTTCTTCTTCCACTCCGTTTAGACAAACAGATGACATACTGAATAAAGCATACCGGAAAGTTCTGGGCCAACTGTCTGCGAGGAAGTACCTGCATTCTCTCATGGCCAAACGCTTAGGGTAAGAGTTTACTAAAGAGCTAAAGGAGGCGCACGCGCGTGAGTGCACGTGCATGCCTGTTTAGTGGGTATAGTGTCTGTGCATGCGTGCCTTCGCATACGTCTCTGCGTTGCTCCGCAGTGGGAAGAGGTGTGTCCTTGCCTCTTTAACACTTTTTATTATCGGGCGAATTCCAGGGCTAACCTGAACTAATTGTCTCTACGCCCAAGTCCTGAACAGGAATTAAGTGAAGAAAAGATCGAGTTAGAAGGAGGGAGGGTCAGAAATAGTGAGAGAGAACCAAAAACATTTTTTAAAAAAGGAAGAAATAAATTAATTAGTTTAAAGATTTCAGATCTCATAGGAGGAATTGTAACCATTACCTCGAAACGCAGGGATTGTATCGCTTTTATTGTAAAAATAAAACAAAGCAAAATTAAAGTAACAACATCATATGGGGTATATCAAAAAGAATTAGTTTTTGCTCATGTCAGACAAGTTCAAATCCTGGGTCCTATGTAGTGCACATTTCAACAGAAGGTAACGTTTTAATAAAGCCCATGGGAAAACAGATTACATTTTCACAATGAATAATTCATGAGATGAAAAATATTGTCTACAGCCTGTCGACTTACGTTATTATCAGGACTTTCAATTTAGCAGGCAGACATACTTCTTTGTTTCTCTGAAAGTGCTGTGTCTTTGATTGGAACCACACCCAAACCTGGGTAGTCCTGATTTTTATAAATAGATACCTGAGTGAAAACAAATACCCTCTAAATGGACAAAGACCGCATCAGTTAGCCGAAGTTTCTCATAAAGGTTGGATTTAAGATAGCCTGGATCTCTGCTCTGCTATCCTAGAGGAAAAAGCGTGCTGGGTCAGGAATCAAAGGCCTTACCAGTTATTTGTGCGACCTTAGGCCACCTTTCCTCTTTAGATCTCAGTTTATTAATATTAAAAATGAGGGGGTGGTGGAGATTGGACTGAATGACCTCTAAGGTCACTTCCATTCTAAATCTATATGTGATGTTGTCAGAAAATACTCTTTTGGAAGGAGGGGAATGCGGTAATCCCTCCCCTCTGCTCTTCTTTAAGCTCTTTAAACCTCAGCAAAAAGGAGTGGAGGAGCGGGAGGAACAGTGCGAGGGAGCCCCAGGAAGCTCCAGGTGTGGGGGAGGGGCGGGCCCAAGTGATCCACATGTTGCAACAGTCTCTGGTCTCCCCTTCCCTCCCGCTCTGATCTTCCACCCTCTGACTTCTTTTTTGGCTTCCCAGGATGGGTACGGGCGTGGAGGACGATTCTGAACCGCTCTCCAAGCGCCACTCTGACGGGATCTTCACAGACAGCTACAGCCGCTACCGGAAACAAATGGCTGTCAAGAAATACTTGGCAGCCGTCCTGGGGAAAAGGTATAAACAAAGAGTTAAAAACAAAGGACGCCGCATAGCGTTTTTGTAGCGATGAGTTACCTACCAGCCACCCTGTTGTGTACAGTCCTCTTGACAGAATGAAAAGTCATTTCCAAAACTGACTGAACAGTCATCGCTCCTGTGTTCTATCTAAACATGTATTTATGTATGAAGTAAAGCCATTAAATGAATATTTTGATAATAATATTGTTTTTCTTTTGTACAAAGCACTAGAGAACTCACAGATCTACTTTGTGGACCAATCATTTAAGTTATATATACTATTATAAATATATATAAATATAATAGAGAGCAATTCATATAAAGCGTGCACAAGGAATGATAAATTCGCCTGAGCTGTTTATGTTTTTATATAAAATAAATAGAAAAAGACAATCATTGTTTTCGATATTACTCCTATTTTTGTAACTGGAATTAAAAGGATAGTATTTTTATCCACGACAGGGGTGAAGACATTAATACTGACCATTTGCTACTGTACATAAACACTGATGCCCTCTACAAGGGGCTTATGAGGCTAATGATTTGGGAGAATTGCTGAAGCACATTCTTCCCCCTTAAGTCTCCTAAAAAAAAAAAAGAGGCTGTTTTAATCCAAGCCTGTCTCAAAGGGGCACTATCCCCCTTTCAAGAGATTTCAATTTTCTGCTTTCTTTGATTCCACTTTTATATGTATTTGTGTCTCCTCAAACAGTGAGCTTAGAAGTTAATTCTCTTGTGGTAAAACAACAGCTCTGTCCAAATTGTGCCTCTCTGTTGACTTAGAGCAATTTAGTAAGGAGGGGTTAGGGAAGGAGGAAAGACGTAGGCAAAGAAGGGTGACTTGTAAAAACAAACGAACCCCCTCATTCTCTGTTCTTTAAGGATCAGTTACAGGACCAAAAACCTAAAATTAGAGTAACTGGACTAAGGAGTTGGAAATTTAAACACAGAAGGAGTCACAGTGTGAGGCAGAAAAGGAAAACCCCAGAGAATTTTGAGCGGTTGTAGGGTCTGAGTATCTTGAGGCAAATACAGTCCCACTAACTGACCTTGGGCAGCTCGGTATTGGAACTTGATACAAAGTATAATGTGTTTCTCTCCAGTGCTGTCCATGCTTCTCATCATGTGAAATGGCCAGGGTTCTCTCCTTTGAACTATATTCAATTGGAGTTGCTCCTTTCTTTGTTGTTTTCCTGTAGACCCTTCTTCCCCACCCCGCTCCTGCACTATTTAACCACTGTTTATCCTTTTCATTCACTTCTTTAAAAATTGTGAATGCTTGTTCTCACTCTTCTGTTCTGTTTTATGCAAGCTCTTATTGTAAAGTTTAGGAATCCTTCTTGTAGCTACCACTAAATAATTATGCACTAACTACAAAAGTTTTGTTCCTTGTTTATTGAGTTTGGAGGTAAAATGTATTTTTCTACATTATGGCTTATTGCTTAGTAAAATTTATTTCATAAATCAATTTTGTCATATTAAAATGTATAGTGTTCACATACTGTTCAGTTCTACCCACTGATAAATCATTTTAACATCATCTTTATATGTATGAGTACTATCTTACCTTTTTTTTTTTTTTTGGTCAAGAGTGAGACAAAACAGCCTCTATCAGATCCAGAGAACTTCCTGGTCCTCTGACTAAAGAGGGCATGTCTGTTTGCTGCTTGTCATGACACTGAACATATTCTAGAGGAATCTCTATACAAAAGTATCCCAACCTAACATCCTCCCCAAATGAGTAACAACAGAGAATCCAGTCAGTTATTTCCCTAAATTTGTCACTGATTTCTTAAAAAACAAAACAAAACAAAACAAAACAAAACAGCATTTGAAGTTTAAAAGACCTTTCATTTTCCTTTGCCGATTTGATCAGTATGAAGTCATAAATCAAAGAAAACAAAATTGGATTTGCAATCCCAAGTCGGATGGGTACTGCTAGCCAATCGGATTGCAAACAGTAGTACCACAGAGACATTCGATTTGTGCCCAAGTCTTGTGTATGAAATCAATCTTACTTTAATTTTGCATTCTCCTCAGGCAATGTGACGCAGGATGCAGTTTGCAGCTTTTGTGCCTTTCTTCGCCTTTTAAATCGCCATGAATCACAGATGGCTATTTAGTGGCCCTACAATGCTGCAACACATCAGCTTGCATTTTAGTCTTAATTATTTGTTTCTTTGGTAATGGGCAGACTTTTCTGTGTTTGTGTCAGCTGTAGTAGTGAAATAGGGCTCTAGTTAACATTTTATTTATGAAGTGTAGTTTAGTGTTCCAGTGGCTAGCTGCAAACATTATATAGATATCACCTAGATTAACCTTTTGTATACTTTTTAGTAAGCCAAGAGCCTTACCAAATTGGATCAGATTTAAGCTACAGTCATAATTTAGGTAGATGTCAGTCTTGAAGATCTTATTTTGTGTGCAACTGATTATAAAAACTCAAACAAGTATGACTACACACATGATATCTATAACTAGGACTTTGATAACTGTTATATAAGTGTGTAAAATTTGTATTAATAAATTTTTGTAAACAATGCAACCTCGTCTAATGTTTGGAGAAAAAAGATATCTAGAGAATAATGTGAAATCTGTATACCCTTAAAATCTTCTAAAGTAGTAGAGTTTCTTTAGAAAACTAATATTTTTCATGTTCAGAATACATATATCTCTCTATATAATCATCCATGTATTTTCATGAACCATACTTCAACATTTGGTTGATGGGTTACTGGATTTGATTAAATTTAAAATAGCTACTGAAGTAGAATGAAGAACATATAAGTTGCTAAATAGTTGAAAATATTGGAACATTAATAAAAGACAGAACCAAGATTGAACTGGGTCCCTAAGGAACATTTACTTTACAGCTTTTTAAGTACTGTAAGGCATAGGTTAGCAGCATGGGACAAAAGGCTTTTTGTTGTCCTTCTTTAACAAGTAATTTTGTAGACTAAAAATGCTTTTGGTGTTTTGCATTTAAAGTTAATTTAAAGCATCTGTTTTGGAGGTTTAAACAATATGTAGCAAGAGGCAGAAAAAGAAGCTTCATTAAAAATGCACTTACAGCAATCAAAAGGCATTTTTGCACAGAGTTAATTAGACACCTTTAAAAGGAGCTTTACTTCTTGGCTAGGGGAAACGTAGAAAGGCATTTGGAAATTATAACATTTATCAATTCACATTAAGAAGCTTGAAAGCAAAGTCATCACCTACAGGTCTCCACAGTGACTGGAAAATTCTCAGCATCTTTTGCAAGCCCATGGTTATTCCAAATCAGACGCTGGAATTAAAGTATTTTATTAAAAGTTGCTCATTATTGAATTCAAGTTGCCAGACTTCTCATTCTAAAACTATACCAATGTGATTAACCAGTAAAGCAATGGGACTATTTAAACGTAATAAAGAAACCAAAACAATAACAAAAGCCAGCAAGATCTTAAAATTTGTGTGAATAAGTTTAATTTATGTGTTGTGTGAGTGCTTAGAAAATTATTCTTCAGAGCTTAGCTCAGTATAGCTATGTTGAGACACTTAAGACAGATTCATGAGGACCATGCTACTCAAAATCTGTAAATACTGACAATTAATAGAAAGAATAATTGTACTAGGTATTTTTTTTTAGCCTTTTAGCATTTTTGTTTGACAAAGTGGCTTTTTTTCATCAATCACATTCTCCTCCCACACCCTGAGAAACTAGGTAGTAAGCATTCTTATGGCAATACCATAGGAAAAAAAAATGGAAACTCAAAAGAGAATTAACTTCAAACTTCAGAGAGGCATCCTTTCTTTCTTTTTTCTTCCTTCTTTTCTTTCTTTCTTTCTTCCTTCCTCCCTTTTTTATTTTACCTTCTTTCTTTCCTTCCTTCCTTCCTTCCTTCCTTCCTTCCTTCCTTTCTTTCTTTCTTTCTTTCTTTCTTTCTTTCTTTCTTTCTTTCTTTCTGTCCAGAAAGAATTATTCTTGGGCTGTGGCTTCCAGTCAACAATTCCAAACAAGAATCTAAATTTACTGAAAGTGGCAGTATTTTCTTGTGAGGGATAGTTCAAGATAATGATTTTCTTCTTAGATTTGATTCTGAGTTTAGTTCCCTAAGAAGGCACATAAGTCAGTGTTGTACGTTAGGCTAGAAACACTCATCTTTAGTTTTTCATTTGTTTTATTTTCCAATTTTCTGGTAGGAAAAGACCAACTTAACATAGGGTTTAGGGTTCTGGTTATGGAAAAAGGGGTAACAAAGAACAAAGTCTGAGAGGGGGAAAGGAGTAAGATTTATGTGTATTTTAATGTAATAAATAAATAATGAAGGTTAGTACTCATAAAATATGCAAATCAATGAACTAAGTCCATCTAGTATCCAGCTAATCCTGGATGTAATCTAGACCTCTTGGGAAATTTTGGTAATTCTTTTAGGCAACAAAGGTCACCATTCAACATTTTTTTTCTGAATTGTCTTGAAAGGGTTAAAAGATCCATTAGAAAATAGCTCCAGTGGTCTACTAAACATCTCTTTTGGATGTTCAGCTGTTCCCACAAATGTAACAAGCCCAAGAGTGAACACTATATTAATGACCCCACCATTTTCTCAGAAAATCCAGGACAAGGCAAGATTTGAAAATTGTGCCCCTCTGTATTTGAAACTGGTCCCTTGTATGTTAATGTGTTAATTCAATTTGGCCCTTGGATCTTTCACGATAGCACATGAAGTAACATCACAAAACACAGCCCCATATATCATAGTGAACAGAATTTTCTGCCTTTAGAAATATGTATAATCCCTCATTCCACCACTCTGTATGTTTTGACTTAAGTACTGCCTACCTTGCTTACCCTTATGCTTAGTTTTATATTTCAGGAGCCCGAGGTTAAATAGATTGATGACATTTTTTACTTTTACTAAGTATAAATATAGCTTTCATTCATCCCCTACATCACTAAACAAGTCAGAGTCTCCTATGATCATAAATCTAGAATGAGGGGGGAGGGAGCTTGGAGATCATGTAGTTGATCCCTTTCATTTTACAGATAAGAACACTGAGGCCCAGGGAAGTGAAGTGAATTACACAAGATTACATAGGTAGTGATTTGCAGAATCAGAATTTGAACTCAGGTTCTTCAACTCTAAGTTCAATACTTTTCCTACTGAACCATGGTACCTCAAGTCCTTTCAAATGTTTGGAGAAAAACAAATCCATTTATCTTCTATTCTCATTGCAA